TTTTACTACAGTGATATTAACTGTGTAGAAACGTAAGACTGTGCCAAGGTAAATCACAGATTGTGAGAATCGATTGCACTTTCACACTTCGTTGATCAACTTTATGAAACTGGTAGTTGGTTCTATGTATTATTATTTAAATACATTCATTGCAGTTATTTTAATTTGTTTAAATTTGATTACAGGCCTTGCTATTTATTGCATTTTCGAAACATATTAATGTTTTCTTTCTGTAATATGATTTTTTTCATTTTTACACAATCGTTAGGAGTTGAATGAAAATGCATTTTGTATTTCATAAAATACGTAGAACGTATAATGTTCTAAATTTGAAAAGTAGTACAACCTTGATATAACTTTTCCAGAACTAGAAATCGTGAATTAATTACGCATTTCAGTTTTAACGATGATATTGCAAATATATGCTCAACATTATATCCTGTGTAGAAGGTAAATGGATATTTTATAAAAACCAACAAGAAGTGATTATTTAAAATCATTGTAGACTTCATTCTTAGCATTAAAATAATTCAGTCATCATACAACACAAACACATTTATTTTGTCATTGTCAATCTCCTCAGTGTTTAGCAGATTTTTTCTTTATCATAGTACATATTCCTTAGAGTTTCATATGTTGTTACACATTTTATCTGACTCTAATATTCAGTCAACCGTAAAAATTTTGCAACCATGATTTAAAATATCTATGAATCATTACACTTCCTTGGCCAGCCTTCGGTTACTCTTTTGCGTTCCTACAGCCATGTTACGAGTAATGTTCCACTGCGCACAGGATACGCGTGTACATCGTGTGCACGGAGGCACGACTTGATTTATAATTGTCTCGCTTTTTGCGGATCTAATTAGCATATATCCTGCTCGTCTAACTGTGAAGTATTCAGTTTTCTGAGACATTGCCATAGATTCGTCAGAATTTATGTACACGCCTTTTAAATTAAAATTATGCAATGGGTGCATAATTTCGAATTGAATATTTAGCCACAGGCATAAAATAAGATATGGGCGCTTTATAAATGTTCCAGTTTATGAGTTTCCAGTTTGTGAGCATACATCGCATTATTATTGCATTTATTGTATATACTCCATATTTTTTGTAGATCATTTGAGTCATTGATCATTATGGTGATCGACGTTCCTTTTACTCCTTTAATGAATCATCTGCATGCTACACGTATGTACTTGCAGGTCACCCAAATTCTTAACAATTGCTATTTAGGCCGTGCTCTAAGACACTTGAGTTTTTTTAGATTTCTTCGTTTCATTCTGTAGATTAATTAAACTGGACTACAGTGTTCCTCAAGTATTCTAAAGATATGTAAATTATGTCATGAGTCATTTAATATCCGGAAAAAGCTTTTGTTACTCATAATTCACTATTTGAACAATAATCTATAATATTTATTAAATTAACATGAGAAAAAATGCGATAATAAGATTATTAGATATTTCTATAATAAAATTATAATTTTTTAAATACATTAACAAGTCACATCTTGTTGCGTAATAGATTCAATCTGAAAATTCTTAATTCACTGATCTCGTATTGCTAATTCGCCATCGTATGTCATTCGATTTCATAGTCTGTTATGTTCTTTTTAATCTCTTCCGCATTATCTTCAAATCAGTATCGATAATTAATTTCTTTATTTCCATAACTAACTCACAAGTTACTCCGCCTATTATATTTGGTCTCATAATATTAAATTCCTTCTCTGCAAGAAGTTCATTTACATTATTTAAACAGAATATTTCTAAGTCATTTACAATGGAAGATTTTTTCATATTCTTCAAATTACGTTCAACTATTGTAAATTGCATCAATCAAATAGTACCAATGCAACACTTGATGATTCATGATACAATGATGACTAGTTGATTGATGATATTTATAAAAATCACATTAACATTAAAACAATTACCATATAAGTGTACAAACCTTTTGCATCTACTACAGTGCCACCTGCTTCACGAATTAGCAATACTCCTGCTGCAATGTCCCAAGGTTTAAGCATTTCCATATAAATGCAGTCCAACGCACCTCGTGCTATGAATGCCAAAGCCAACGCTGCAGATCCCATGAATCTAACTCTAATTTCGAGTACAAAACAATCAACGAATATTTATTACATTCAATATAATAATATCAGTGCAACTAAAACATCATAAATCTCTAAAAAACGAACTTGACTGGTCTGAACCATTATAATCTACTTTGATTCGAACATAAGATATTTTTTCGATTTAATTTTCGAAATATGTAATACCTAGTTGCTTTACGCTTAAATCGTTTTTAATTTTTGAATTTGCATTTAGAATAATTCTTTTTTTTTATTTCCCAATGCAAATACGTGAAATGAGGCACTCACCCTCGTGCAGCATGAGTCACTGCATCTAGTCTGCCTGCTCTGAGGTCCCGATCTTTTGAAGGAAAACGAATCGAAAACATCTCGATTTCTATTAAAGCCTTCTTTAGTTCTGCAAGAAATAATTTCTGTAAAATTGCTTATTCTTTCATTATATTTATTTTACTATCGTTCGAATATCAGATATTATTACAAACCAAATTAATAATTATATTTCTGTAATATACTTCTGTAGAAAACTATTATTTGAAACTTGCTGATTAAAATATATTTCTATCTTTATCAATAGGTTGCGAATTTTATGTATTTATATAAACATTTTATATGTAGAAAATATACAAAAAATACAAAGTCCAGGAATACGCATAAGTGCAGACCATTATTCTTTAACAGTAAAAAAATTGTAAATATCATTTTCTTAATTTATGTTACAGAAGTTTTGTTTTGCATACAAATTCGTAGTCTGTATATAAATGTTATTACCAGTAGTTTTGGAAGATTTAAGAGGTTTGCCATTTAAGAAAGCTCCCTGTCCTTTGATCGCACTATATAATTCTGAAGTGATTGGATTGTAAATAATTCCTATTACTGGTTCTTTGCAAACTGTTAAACCAATAGAAATACAAGTAATTGGAAGCCCATTTACATAATTGATGGTTCCATCTATGGGATCTATGATCCACGTAGGTTCGTCAGTTAACTCTATTTGGTCTGAGGACCCGGCTGTACCTTCTTCTCCGATAAATCTATTAAAAAAAATATTAATTTGCGATCAAGTCAAATCCTTTAAAATTGTAATAAATGTGACTTACAAATGTTCAGGAAATTTTTCTCTTAGAGTATTAATTAAAAAATCTTCAATCTTTTTGTCATAATCAGTTACCAAATCCCACTCATCCTTGACCGTGACGACTTTCTCTCCTTCAAAACCACACTTAAATACCTAGAAACAAAGTATAACACAGATAAATGTTATCTGATAAGTATTGGTAAAGTAAAAACAAATCCTCGTTGAAATCACGTACTCTGCAATTTTAGTATCAATTTATATTAATATAATCAGTTATTGTTATTTAAAATTAATGAAATCTAAAGTTAAACTTGTAGCACTTTCAATACAAATTGAAAGTGTATAGATATTTGAATAAACACTTAGAACAATGTAATTGCATTTTAGCAACGTCAGTAGAATTTCATCACAAGGAATTAAGTATAACGCACCTCGCCTGCTTTCAAGGTCAGGTCTTTGACGAATTCAAAAGTTCTCTGGATATCTAACTCACTCGACATTGTCACCATTGTCAAAGTTTTGGAGAGAACGACTGATCGATTGAACGTCTGTACCGCGTGTCGCGATCTCGTTATCTCTATCATCGGAGATATATAATCACGCAAATAAGATAGGTAGCGAAGCCTGAACATTCGAGGTACTGAGTAATATTTTATCTGAGATATTACATAGCACGATTTCAATCGTACTATTTTGAAGTATGTAGTTTTGTATTCAACTGCAAATTGCAAGCTTGAAGTTTGCAACTTGATCGACGTCTTATTGTTAGCTTGAAGCTAACTTCTCTGATCGCGTCAAAAATTAAGGTGGATCGAAAAAGACTAAAAAGTTCAACTTATAATAATTTGGCTTTGTTACAGAAAGGAAAGGTATTTTAAGAATTTATAGGTGATCATATTCATAGGAGTGATAGGTATTCATAATAAAGTAATTAAAAATTCGTTTGTGGGTATAAATCAATTGTTTGCAGCTTTTATTTACTAGGTATTTTATAAAATATGTTCATAGATGTTGATATGTTTTTCAAATGATTTATTTTGTTCATTAATAAATAAGTATACATATATCATTAATTTTTGTTGACAACATATCTGCTTCACAAGACTACACACTACATACAAGTAGCTAGGTAATGAGTTTAGAACAATTATCACAATTACTATTAATCATGAAGGGACTGGTAATTACAAGATGTCCCAATCTGACATCGCCTGTGAAACTAGTTTCACATTTATAATAGTCCGAGCGCTCGTAACACAAAAAAATGGAACAATTTTTTACAGTCTGCCATTGATAGGGGAAATATTTACAGGCACAAGCTGTAGATAGATGTACTTAAAAATCTTCGTTACGTGTTAATGCATACTTAAACATTAACTTTAGTTAGCAAAAAGAACGTAGTTTCTTGAAACAACTTTTAAACAGTCTGTCTTGTGAAATTTCGTCAACTTTACGCTAACATTAGCCTAAATTGAGCTTGGCAGATTGTAAAAAATTGTTCTTAGACGATTGTTCTTATACGATTTAATTGCTAACTAACATAAGTACGCTTTATTCTTGTACTGGAGAAAACCATCTGCCAATAAGCTTTTCATGGATTGCGCAATCTTGCCTTGAGCTCAAATAAATGGCAGACTGTTTGAAAGTTGTTTCAAGAAACTACGTTCTTTTTGCTAACTAAAGTTAATGTTTAAGTATGCATTAACACGTAACGAAGATTTTTAAGTACATCTATCTACAGCTTGTGGCTGTAAATATTTCCCCTATCAATGGCAGACTGTAAAAAATTGTTCCATTTTTTGTGTTACGAGCGCCCGGTCTATAAGCCTTGTGTAATTATACTTTACATAAATGGAAAGACAGATATTATCATATGATTCCAATATACATACAAATTCAGGTACATGTGTACGTTTTTTTTACCAAAGGAACTTTAATACATACGCATGATAAAGATATGCTAATTTTTATTCAGTCGAAGTA